GCTTCTTTCTGGTTTGATTCTTGGCATCCAAAAGGCCCACTTCATTTGATCTTCTCGGATAGGGATATTTTCTATTTGGGTATCCCACGCTCGGCCTCGGTTTGTGAGTTCCTTTCTTCGGATTGGCACCATTCGAATGTATTGCAATCATTCAACTCTTAGGCATCTCCTCTCCCAATACTTAATACTGATACACCAGACCACTTTGTCTGGCTCGGACATTTGTCTGGTATTTTCTCTATTACCTCGGCTTGGGTATTGGTTCGGGCAAGAGGACAAGCGATTTTCTGGGACACCTTCATCTGGGACTGTCATATTGTACCGCGCCATGGTTTTTTGATGTGGTTGATGTCCCTTAATAGGCTTCCCACGCAGGTATTCCTTCTGAACTATCATAGAATATCTGAAGGTCTATGCGCCTTCGTCGCATTAGACCCGATTCTATCGACCATCCGTTCTTTGGATGCAATGTTACGGGCTCCCTAGCGCAATATTGGGCTTCTAATTGTCATCTTTCATGGCGTAATGGGTCCCGGAAAGAGAACCTCCGATGGGGTATGCGTTTCATTGGTGGAGATAGCTTTTATCACTGTATCTCTCGATTTGCTCTTGGGGCATTGTGCCATCTCATTTGGGTTGAACGGAATAATATCCTTTTCAGAAATAGCACCCTTTTTATGCCTGCTCTCCGCAATCATCTTGCCAAGGTAGTTAGAGACAAAGGCCTTTCTCTCAAGCCGATTCAAGACAATCCTCGGAATGTAAGGATTCAAGCCGAGTTAGGGCATATCGGATTCTATATTCAGCTGACCCTCTTTTGTAGTCTTTGTTGGTGTTTTATGTTGGCTGCCGGGTAGCCTTCTCTGTATAGCGCTTCTTTTGCTTCCATTGTTTGCCGCAACACCTTTCTACCTGTCGGGACACCTTTGTCTCTTCAGGTACGAGGTTTTTGTGTTCGGCCTCACTTGCGCGTTGAAAAGTTATATACTACTTACTTTAACCAAAAATAAAATAAAATAATAATTATCATATTATAGATTGTCGCTTTTGACGTAACGCAAGTCATCAGTTTGGAGCACTTTTTCACTATCTTTGCGCCGATCAAACTAGATTTTGTGATTATTAAACATTCATTAAACAATACTTAACCCCAACAAATCACTTGTTAAGTAAGAGGGTTTAGAACATGTCTGCTCGCTTGGTTAGGAACTTGGAAAGGGTTTCACGTCTCGTTCATATACTTCCTAAAATTTTCAAATGCCGTCTTTCATGCCAATTATAATTATTGCGACACTCTATCTTATTTTATCAATTTCTTTCATACCTCCCTCTGATATGTGGTCTAATGTGTGCTTGTTGCATTGCATACGTCAGCAATACTTTCCAAGTAATTTAGAGTTTCTGAAGTTGACTCCTGCATGATTCATTACCGAGTTTCCATTAGAAGTTCACATAAAGAAATACATAATTGAAACTCACGTCAAAAGGTGTCAACGGGGTGTCATTGCCACGTGCAATAAGCTTGATTTCTTGGTCACTTCACTTCACTTCAACAAGCAAGAGGCTCAAATTGATCGAAGTCGGACTGGCGTTTCATATGCTTCCGCGTGTTCAATCAAAACCCTAAGCTACGCATCTGCACTTGTAAACTCTCTCTTGATTTCATGTATCGTTGTTGAACTTAGGTGCACATACTTTAGTTCTAAAAGTTTCAATTGGTAAAAAAGGAACGAAAAAAGTACATATTTTCACAGTAAACACTCATCCCATGCGAAGGCTAGTATCGGGTGGGGTGACGAAAATGTGGTGCACGTGAGCCAGACACAATGTACTCGCAGTCCAAGCATTATGAAGAAATGTCTTTCAAGGTATTAGAGTAGAATGTCTCGAATTTAAATTTTTTCCAAACCCTTATATGCCTTCGTTGTTGTATATTTCCAAACTTAATCTTAGGCCAAAAATTCCAGCCTACATGTAAGGGGGAATGTTGGAAAATTCAAATATTAAACAACTCCTTCATTGATGATTTAAGCTCTTAGAATAGTTTACCGTGGTTCCACAAAATATTTAACTTAAATGCATAAGTGAATAAAAGGGCACACGACAGATTGAATTCGAGAATTTCATTTTTTTTGGGGGGGTTGAAGTTGGCAACTTTTTGTTGTAGAAGTCTATTTCTTTTGATTTTTATCTTGGGTTAATACCACGAAAAACCCTAAACTGGTACATTTATGACAAATTTACTCCAAACTAATTTTTTGACCATCAAAAACCCCAAACTGGTACACTTGTGACAAATTTACCCTCCGTTAAATTAGATTAATACCATGAAAAATTACAAATTGGTAAATCTGTGACAAATAGAGAGGTAAAATCCAAAACTGGTACACCCGTCAACTGCCACATATTATTTAACTCAGCAATTTGACGGTAAAATTTAATGTAAACTAACTGAGGGTAAATTTGTCACCGGTGTACCAGTTTTGGGTTTTTGGCGGTCAAAAATTAGTTTGGGGTAAATTTATCACAGGTGTACCAGTTTGGGGTTTTTCGTGATATTAACCCTTTTATCTTCTTTGAGTCCTAAAAGTTATACATATTAGAAAATGGTGCAAACTATCTTTTTATCATAATAATTAGAAAAAAGAATCTCTTTCTTGATAATGTCTTCATTTTGGTTCACTTTAGGGTTATACTCATGCTTATTACTCAAATTTGTCAACAATATTCGAGAAACAATGAGAGAGGCAATCAAATTAGAGGGCAATACCAAAAAAATCATAAACCTATTGTACTTATACCAATTTAGTCCTAAATCTTTCAATTGTGTCAATTTAATCTTAAATATTTTCTTGTTTTGTCAATTGAGTATATCCGTCTAATTTTGGCAACATAGACGCCAGCTGTTCTATGTAATATAGTCGGTGCTAAAGTAGACATTTTTTTTAATAATACTTTAATAGTTTTTTGAATTTTTATAATTTTTTGTTTTCTTTTTGTTTTCTTTACTTGTTTTTACTCGCCAGCCAACCCTCGCCAGCCAAAAGCGGGGGCATCTCTACCCTTGCCTGATCTAAGAGTTGCGGCCTCGCCCTAGGCCAACGAGGGCTGTGGAGCCCTCGCTTGGCCTAGATCTGGCGAGGGCAATGGCCCTTGCCTTAGGCCCTCACCGGCCACAACGAGGGCTCATGAGCCCTGGCCTAGTGGCCGTCGAGGGTCAGCCAGCAAACCTTGCCGGCACTCAGTCCAAAATAAAAATTAAAGAAAATAAAAGAAAAAGAAAAAAAACAATTTATTTTTAAAAAATCAAAATATTATTAAAAAATGTTTACATTAGCACAGGCCGTGCCATGTAGGATGGTCGATGTCCATGTCAATGATTTTCGGCCAAAATTAATCGAATGGACTCAATTGGCAAAACACGAAAAGGTTTAGAATTAAATATGCACAATTGAAAGGTTTATGATTGAATTGGCACAAGTGTAATAGGTTTAGGACTTTTTTAATAATTATCCCCAAATTAGAGTGGGGTCGCAAGTCCAAAGCTAAGATCATTACGTTTGATATCTCACCAGACCTTGGATAGTTCAATCAGTCTCAAGCAAGTAGTGACCCAAACGGGAATGAAAGTCCAAAAGATTATTGGATACTTTTGAGATCTTATTAGCATTGGAAGAAACATACGTGTATAGCAAGAGCAATACGACAAGCACGTACATAACTTTATTTAAATATTTTAAATAGACATTGGTCATTATAAGGAAGAAAAGTTAGATCACCAACCAATTTCGATATTTGAAGTTGGACACGCCAAGTTTTATGGCGATGTTTTTTTTTTTTTTTTTTTGGGTAAGGTAAGTAGTATATAAACTTTTCAACGCGCGACTTACAAAGAGAAGCCGAACACAAAAACCTCGTACCAGAAGTGACACAAAGAGGTGTCCCGACGGGTGCAAAGGTGTTGCGACTTTGTCAAAAGGTGAACAACAAGTGCGCAAATAGCTACGGCCCAAACATTAGGCAACTAAGAGAAAGACTAATAACAAGCAAACAACAAGAGATCACTCAAAAATGGAGGACGAGATACCCCAATTGGTCTGGGTCCTTTGATTAATGGGAGAGTCTTGAACCGGCTTGAGAGAAAGGCCTTTGTCCCTAACCACCTTGGCAAGGTGATTGCGGAGGGCCGGCAAGTAGAGGGTCCGGTTCCTAAACAGGATATGATTCCGCTCCGTCCAAATCATGTGGCACAAAGCCCCAAGGGCAAAGCGAGCAATGCGGTGATGAAAGTTTGGACCTCCAATAAATCGAGAAGCCCATCGGAGATTTTGTTGCCATGTACCATTTTGCCAAGAAAGGTTGCAATTAGGAGCTCAAAATTGTGCAAGGGTGCGTGTACGAGGACACTCGAAGAAAAGGTGATCTATAGAATCTGGTCTATTGCGGCAATAAGCACAAACACCTTCAGAGATTCTGTGGTAGTTAAGCAGGAAAGCTTGCATCGGCAGCCTATTGAGAGACATCACCCACATCATAAAACCGTGTCTTGGAGCAATGTTGCGGTCCCAAATGAAGGAACTCAAGTAAACTACTTGTCCTCTATTCCGAATCAAGTCCCAGGCCGATGAAACCGAAAAGGTTCCCGAAGAATGACCTTGCCAAAGTAGTCGATCACCCATTTCCGAGTCAAAAAGAGGGAGAGGTTCTGACCAGGAATGGAAAGATTGGAGCACATTAGATTGGTGCCATTCCGAAGAGAAAAAATCCCATACTGAAGCCGTTTTGGAGATGCCCGAACAATAAATATCCCTATCCGAGAAGAGCTTGTAGAGAGGGCCTTTGGTGTGCCAGTAATCAAACCAGAATGAGATGGACCTTCCATTACCAATCCACCATTTGAAAAGCTCCTGGAATTCCTGGCGGATATCTAAGATTTTTTTCCAAGCCCAAGAACACACAGTTGGCTTGGAGGCAACCCAAAAATTTTTAGTTTTGAGAAATGTGGAGTGTATCCACTTGCACCATAAGGATTCCTTGTCCGTGAAGAGCACCCAAATATGCTTGAGCATAGCCGCATTATTGCAATCTATTAGCCTGCGAATGCCCAAGCCACCTTCTTGTTTGGGGAGACAGACAAAACTCCAAGGGACTTTGGCGCCTCCTACACCCAAATCTGGACCTTTCCATAGAAATTGCCTGAGGATTAATTCAATCCTCGACAAAATTGATCGAGGGAGCGTGAAGACCGCAGCCCAGAAAACATGTATGGCATGTAAGACCGACTTGATAAGTTGTAACCGGCTAGCAAATGAGAGGAAGCGCTGGGACCACGAGCGTGCTCTAGCGGTAATAGCATTAACTAGAGAAGTACAATCAGCCTTACTTAATCTGGAGGCGATAATAGGAACCCCGAGGTAGCGAAAAGGAAGTGTACCTTCATGGAATTCGAAGGACCGTAAGATTTGGTTACGAACATCCGATGTCCCTCCGAAGAAAAATGTTTCACTTTTGTTGATATTCGGCTTCAGGCCAGCCCACCGAGAGAAAAGATCAAGGCCTTCCTTGAGGAGGGCAGTGGAACGCACATTGGCCTCGGAGAATAGGAGGACATCGTCTGCGAAAAATAGGTGAGTGAGCCTAATGGCCTTGCACCGCCAAAAGAAATTGAAACCCGGGAGCCGAGTCTTAGCATTGAGGATTTCGGAGAAAACTTCCATCACTAGGGTGAATAGATAGGGAGAAATAGGGTCTCCTTGACAAATGCCCTTACCGCTAGGAAAGAATCCACGGAGGGAACCATTGATGGCAATTGAGAATTTCGAGGATGTCATGCACTCCATAATGAGTCTAATAAACATCCGCGGGAAGCCAAAAGTTTGTAAGACTACCTCCAAGAAACCCCAGTCGACCGTGTCATAAGCCTTCTGAAAATCGATTTTGATGGCACATTTAGGCAAATATGGCTGATGGTGGAAACCCGCAAATAGTTCTTGTGCAAGAAGGATATTGTCGCTTATCCTCCGTTTCTTGACAAACGCATTCTGAGGGGGACTAATGATAAAGGCAGAACGGAAGCCATCCTATTAGCCAGGATCTTAGAGATGCATTTGTACACCGTGTTGCAGCATGCTATGGGTCTGAAATCATTCATTGCCGAGGCATTGGGCACCTTGGGGATTAGAGTGAGAATGGTAGCATTGATCTCCTTAAGTAGAGAGCTGGATTGGAAAAAATCCTTTATAGCCAATGTGACAGAAGGTCCCACGATTTCCCAGGAGGAGATAAAGAAATCAACATTGTAGCCATCCGGACCCGAGGCCTTCCCTTTAGGAAGGGAGAAAAAGGTGTTTCGAATCTCAATCTCTGTCATTGGTCTGGAAAGAAAATGAGACTGACTCTCATTGAGAGTTCGATCAACCATAGCCTGAATATTCTGAAGAGTTGGCCGAACAGGTGGCCCATTTGTCGCAAGCAAATTCTCGAAGTGAGTGACTATATGAAGCTGGACTGCAGCCGGATCACTAAGGACAAAACCATTTTCATCAGAGACGGATAAAATACGGTTGTAGAGGTGTCTTTTGTTGACAAAATAGTAGAAATATTTGGTGTTGCAGTCCCCTTCAGACAACCATTTAATTCTCGATTTCTGCTTGAAAAATGAGTCCTCCTGGATTCTAAGGTCCGAGAAAGCCTGGAGTTGATCCCTTTCAAGATTGGCCAGAGAGAGATTAAAGGGGTCAAGTGCAAGAGCATCTTGAGTAGAGGTTAAAGCTAACCTTGCATGGGCGGTACGGCTTGAGATATAAGAGAAGGAGGCCCGATTGAGTTGTTTCAGGCGTCCTTTAAGTAACTTAAGCTTCTGGCACAGAATGTTCATTGGAGTCCCAGCAATGTGTGAATCCTACACCTGTTTAACAGTATCCGAGAAAGAAGGATGAGACATCCAGCAATTAAAGAATTTGAAAGGCTTCCGGGTTGTCTCGAAAGGTAAGATTCTAACAATCATGGGAGTGTGGTCTGACACGCCCGGGGCCAAGAAGGAAGCCTCTGAATAAGAGAAGATTCTGGTCCAAAGCTCATTGATAAGGACCCTATCAATCTTCCTTTGTTTGCGGCGCGCACCAGAAGATGTTGCCCAAGTAAATCTATGGCCGACAAATCTTAGATCATCAAGGCCGGCCTGGTCTAAACAAGTGCCAAGCTCATCGAAGGCAGGGATCCAAGAATTGGAGCTGCCTAATCTATCGGAGTGGCTTCTTATGGCGTTAAAATCACCAGCAACAATCTAAGGCTCACCGGCAAACTGGAGGCTTGACTGAATAAGATCAGACCAAAGTGCATGCCTAGCCACAAAGATGTGCTCCTCATATATCACCGAGATATGGCAAGACAAGTTCAATGACAGTATATGCATACGCCCATGAATGGCTTGAGAGGAATTAGAGAGGACAACGAAATCCACTTGTGAAGGGTTCCAACCCACCCAAATTAGTCCACGAGGGGAGAACATGTAGTTAGAGGACCAACACCAACCTGGTAACAACCCAGAGGAAATATTGTCAAAAAGAAACGGGTTGACTTTAGTCTCGAGTATACTAATAAAAGAAAGATTGTTAGATCTAACTAAGGACCTAATCTCCGCTTGTTTGAGGGGGTTCATGAGACCCCTTATATTCCAAACACCAAAAAACATATGTACATGAGGGAAAGGAGTTACCTCCTTTTTGTGCTTTTTGTGCCACCCCGTTTTCTAGATTTCGGGAGAGGCACCTTGGTCGTCACAGGGCTGTTACCAGGAGTGGGTTGAGCCATCACAGGAGCAGGAGGGGAAGTGTCAGGACACTCGGTTTGAGGTTTGCAACCTTGGTGCACCGAGGATCTCAATCTAGCAGTCGTCGGGGCAGGGGAGCGAGAGAGCTCCTCCGGGTCGCTGCCAATATTACTAACTAATTCAACTTCAGGAGTATCCGAATCAGAACTATCCTCAGGGGAGGCCCGAGAAATCAAGCCTGGATCAGGGAGATACTGTATAACAGCAGAAGCAGCCATAATCTTGGGGGCGAGAGAGGAAGATGCCAAGGCAGGGGTGGGCATATGAGCAGCACCCAACTCTATTGCAGAGGAAGAAGCCAAAACAGGAGTGCGAGTATTTCTCTTGCCGATTGTCTCCCATATGTCTTCCCCAGAGGGAGGGGCATCTGCAGCAGCAGCTACTTGAGTTGTAAGCTTCTGAGTGACAGCATGAACTTCACTAGGTGGAGTACATCCGTGGCCAAAAGTTCCACAGGCAAGACATGAGACCGGTCGCCATTCATAGTTGACCTTGATCGACCAGGTTTCATCGTTCCAAATGACATCAACTGAATCAAGCAATGATTGAGTAGCTTTGACCTCGATGCAAACCCTGGCATATGAGATCATCCTCATTTTTTCAGTTTGAATATCCACATGTAGCGGCTTGCCGATTACGCTAGCAACCGCACTGATGCCCGAGGCTGACCACAGTGCATGAGGAATGTGCCTTAACTTAACCCACACGGGTAGCAACTGATGTTGGTCCTTAACCAATCTCAAAGCTGGATGCCATTGCTGGAGTATTAATGGCACCCTAAGGATAGTGAGCGGGCCTCCATCCAGAATTTTCCGCCGAAACGAGAAAGAGTATACAAATCAATATAGTTAACTAAGCTAACTTTTCCCCTTCTTTCAATAAAAGGAAAGAAGTGTCAAAGTGTCAATGTGAATTGGGAGAGAAGGTCAAACTGCAATGAGCATTTCCCAGTTTTGATTTTGAATAATGACCAAACACAAAAGAAACTATTTTTTTTTGTGGGTTCTTGGAACAACACAAAGGACCTGAAGAGAATGGACCACGTCGTGTACTTGGAATTCCGGGGTTGGCAAGAGTACAAGCAAAACCAATTCCGTCTCCTGCCGTGGAAAATTTCCCAGCAAGGCTAATGTGGCATCAGGCGATTGGGACAGAGAAATTGAATATCATCGTGTAGTTCGACATAGACCACAATGTGATGATAATCAAGGTATTTTTGTGATGATTATCTAATCACAATCAATAGAGGGGAAAATTACCAAAAGAGTCCTAAACCTATTGCAATTGTGCCAATTCAGTCCTAAACCTTTTGCATTTGTGTCAATTCAGTCAATCTGGTCAATTTTGGCTGGCCGGCGGTGACATGGACGTCGGCCATCCGACCGACGCTGACGTAGCAAATTTTAAATATTTTTTTCGAATTTTAAATATATATATATTTTTTTGCTTTCCTTCTTTCCCTGGCCAGTTACCGGTCGCCAGACCAGCCAGGGGCTAGGGCTGGCTAGGTCACCTCGCCGGCCACTAGTCAGGCTTGCCCTTGCCAGCACTGGCGAGGGCGAGCTTCAACCTCGCCATCGCAGGCGAGGATGACGATGGCCATGGTGAGGCTCGACCTCGCCAGATTTGGACTAGTCAAGCGGAGGCTCAATGGCCATGGCCATAACCGTCGAATAGAAAAAAATGCCAAAGCAAAAACATCCCAAGAGGTCGGGGGTGGGGACTGATACTCATGGCATTCGGGCTACGAGGCGGCCTGTTCTGGTTGCGCGACGACATCGAGAGAAAAATAATGAAAACACGTGGACAGTTAGATTCGAGGCGGCCTAGGGAGGCATCGACCGGAGTCAGATTTCGCCAACCTAGATGCGGAACTAGAGCTCGACGATTATGGCCATGGCCATCGAGCCTCTGGTTGACCAGTCGAGGTTGAGCCTTGCCCAGATTTGACGAGGTTGAGCCTTGCCCATATTTGATGAGGTTGAGCCTCGCCATGGCCGTCATTGACCTCGCCGTGGCTGACCTCGCCCGCGACGGCGAGGTCATCGCCCTCACCATGGCCGACCTCGCCTGTGACACCGAGCCTCACTAGTGGCCAGTGAGACCTCGCCGGCCCTAGCCCTTGGGAAGAAGGAAAGCAAAAAAAAGAAAAAAGAAAAAAGATAAAGGGAAAAAAATTTTAAAAAAAATTTTAAAATTGCCACGTTAGCGCCGGCCAGCCAAAATTGGCCGAATGGACTGAATTGGCACAAATGCAAAAAGGTTTAGGACTGAATTGGCCAAAAAAAAGATTTATGACTTAATTGACATAATTGAAATAGGTTTAGGATTGTTTTGGTAATTTTCCCGTCAATAGAGAGATATGCACAATCATTGGAAATGTGGAGAATCAAGAAAGATTCGAAGATTCTCATAATTATCTTTGATATTACCCTTTAAACTCAACATGATGTATGTTAGAGATATTTAGGATAATTTTGATGATTTTCTGTATCTCTCAATATTATGCAAATTTCTCTTTTTGATTGTGCATATCTTGATTTATATATATATATATATATGTATATATTACCTTTGATAATCTATCATAGAGCCTACAAATAGGCTAATGTACTATTCATTATGATATATCAAAATATATTGAAAATTCCCTATTTTCTCTTTTCCACATTCTTATATTTAACTTGGTATCAGAGCTAGTCGATCCTAAAGTGCACTTGCGCACTCGCACCCGGTGCACACCCAAGTGTCCATCCAAAGCTAATTTAGCTTCTTCTTCTTCTTCTTCTTCTTTTTTTTTCAATAAGTCCTAATATCCTCCATTGATTTCAACATTATTTATCTCATCCGATAGCCAATGCATTTTTATCGCATAGTCTGTAGAGCCCTCTCATATAAGAAGCGCTTAGTCCAGTTGATGGTCATGTTTTTATGCCAACCGCAACAGTCACATCACCCAGTCGAGCTTTTCACGGAGGTGGCTTTTCTTTCGATACTAACCGCATAGGCCGCATCGCTCAGTAACTATTGTCCCAAGCCAGCCGTATAGGCCGCTTGATACTACGACGCCAGCCATATAGGCTGCGTCGCTCAATTACTGTTTTGCAAGCCAGCCGCGTCGATTGTTTGTTGTTTCCCCTCCAATTCTCGACGTTTCGCGGGTCGTTTTGAGAAGCCACACCACCACTAGACTCGCCGCTCTCAGACTAGCAAGATCTGGAAATTTTGCCATGAGCTGCCGAATGCCGCCTCATCTGCCACGTCTCAGCCGTTTGACACTGTTCAGACTAGTATTCAAACTCAAGTTGACATCTTTAATGCATCTTGAGTTTGAGGGGGGATGTTAGAGATATTTAGGATAATTCTGATGGTTTTCTATATCTCTCAATATTATGCGAATTTCTCTTTTTGATTGTAAATATCTTGATTGATATATATTACCTTTGATAGTCTATTATAAAGCCTATAAATAGGCTGATGTACTCTTCATTATAATATATCAAAATATATTGAAAATTGCCCTTTTTCTTTCTTCTGCATTCTTATATTTAACTATGTAAAAGAAGTCAATTGAAATTTGGAGAAAATATTAAAAAAAGATGTGCCTATTAATAAAGACATCAGCAGTCTGATCAACCGATGATAGAGAACCGATAGAGAATTAGTTCGCAAGCTAGGCAAATGGCTGGCATGGCTATTGACGTGGTAGATACGTGTTTGAGCCGACTTGTGCAGACCACCTAAAAATAGGCTGACGTGGCTGCTGACTTGGCAGATACGCATTTGAGTTTGATGTGTACAAACTGTGTGACAATAGGTTGACGTGGCTGCTGACGATGCAATTATGGATTTGAGTTTTACATATGAAGAGGCGCGTGAAGGCGCATGGACCCTTCATGCCGTGGAGAGTGGTGGTGCGTGACGACACGTGGGGCAACGGAACACAACGAAATTTCTAGATATGACTTGTTTGAGGGTGGTGAGTATGATGGCCGTGTTGGTTTTTTAAAAGAGCAACGAAAGTGTTAGACTAACACTCAAGAGCAACAGAAGTCGACTTGTGCAGACCACTATAAATTGCTTTACGAACTCTTCTATCGCTTATTCTCTTTACATATATGTTATTAGAAGATATTAGCTTTTTATACTAAACTTTATTTATAATCAATGCTTCATCCTCTTATGCTGTTTTGCGTGAAAGAGTTTTAAAAATCCTACAACAATCAATTCACCCTTCTCTTGGTTGTTAAATTTGGTCCATCTCAATGTTCCGTTTGAAACTGACTTCTGAGTTATACCGACAAATCATCCCAGCAAACACAAGTTGGCTTTAACTTTAACCGCTGAAAAGAGGGTTATTCAAGGTATTCGACTTATCCCTTTAGGTGTAGCCTCAAAAAGAAAAACCCTCATTATATTAGTCCTTTGAGAAATATTTAAATTTTAGTTTTATACGTATAATTAGGTTCCGTTTATTTAGCGGAAAATGATTGATTTTGAAAATATTTTCCTAAAAATAATCGCTTGAAATAATTAGTTAATGAAAAAAGTTTTCATTATCGACAAAATTTTATATCTAAACATATTCGTGAATAATGAAAATAGTTTTTGCTTATTCATTTTTGTTAGCTTTATAAGCAGTCATTTTTAGAAAAATATATTCCAATTCATTCATTTTTCGTGAAACAAACCGAATCTAAGTATTGTCATGCAATTTTTTTTGTAGCTAAGTTCCCCTCCCAAGCAAGAAACCTTGCTATCTCACTTAAATTTTAATATTATACATAGAACCAAAAGTCTTCTACGACTAAGATTTGGAAAATGATGGCAAATATCATCGATATCAGTCTAATAGTAGATGAGTTTGTGCAACTAAAGAACGTCGAGCACACAATTCAAGCATTCCAAAGTAAAACAACGTCTTGAATAGAGAAAAGTGTTAGAAAAGTTTTTAACCTATTGCATATGTGCCAATCTAGTCCTAAACCTTTTAATGGTGTGAATTTAATTTTAAACCTTTTGAACTAGAGCCAATTTAGTCCTTCCGGCTAACTTTGGCTGGATATTGCTTACGTGGCACGGCCGGCATTGATCAGGACATTTTTAAAAAATATTTTAATAATTTTCAATTTTTTTTTCTCTTTTTTTCCTCCTCTTTCCTCCAGTGGCCGCTGAGGGTCGGCCTAGCCTGGGCGAGGGTGAGTGCCGACGAGGCCGCCCTCGCCAGATCTGATGAGCCTAGGCATCGCCTAGGCGAGGGTGGGTGTCACCTGAGCAAGGGTTGGTCTCACCAAATCTGGCGAGGCCGACCCTCGCCCAAGCAAGGCGGCCTCACTGGGCATTACCTAGGTGAGGGTTGGACTCGTCGGGCCTTGCCCTAGCCAAGCGACACTTGGCGAGGCCGCTTGGCCTAGGCGAGGGTCGGCCTTGCCAAATCTAGCAAGGTGACCTCGCGTAGGCGATGCCTACCGAGGCCGCCCTCATCTAGGTGACACCTGGGCTCGCCAAATCTGGAAAGGGTGGCCTTACTGGTCCTCGCCCTTGCCTCGGCAAGGGCCACCCTCACCGACCATGGCCGTGTATGCCACCGAACGAAAGAGGAGGAAAAATAGAGAGAAAAACAATAAAAGAAAGGAAAAAAAGACAAAATTAAAAAAATTATCAAAATATTATTAAAAAATATCTACATTAGCGCCGGCCATGCCAGTAGGCCAATTGGTGTTCATGTCAGTAATATCCAGCTAAAATTAAATGAAATGACTAAATTGACTCTAGATTAAAAGATTTAGGACTAAATTGATACCATTAAAAGGTTTATGAC